GTGTTTACAATATACACACATCTTTCAAAGAGACACACACACACACACACACACACATATATATATATATATATATATATATATATATATATGAATATCAGGGAATTTTGTACTTTGACATTACATATATTAGACAATGTGCATTTGCGTTTAAATGCTAACACATCTGGATATGAGCTAGCATGAGGATGATGATGATGATGATGGTGGTGCATTAGCTAATGAGTTATTATAGAAAATAAATAGTTGTTAGAGCACAAAATTATTAGTTCGGGTTCTGCCTTCTCGGCTACACTTACACAGAACGTGTTTTGTGTTTGTTGTGTATCTTACTAAAGTGTATGTTGACAGTTTAGTTGAATAACTGATGAATCCTAATAAAGGAGTGAAATAATTCTGTGACTTATATGAATATTTACATATTTGATTGCTTATATTTTAATTGAAGATGTGAATGTAAATGACATTATTTCACTCGGGTAGCCTTTGAAAAGTGAAGATATTTTGAATTTGTTTTTATTTTAATTTTAGACACAATTTTAGTAATTTTGTTGTGTTTTTGCTTTCATATATATTTGTCTATAGATTTTATTAATTGTTTTAGTTATTTGAGTACATCTAATAACTATTTTAAGAAAAATGTTGCCTTTGCAACTAGCTTGAAATAAAAAGCTTTTTAGTTAATGTTTATTTTAAGTAACATATTTTTTAATGGTTTTAATAATAATAATAATATATATATATATATATATGTAAGTAAATAATAATAAAGAAATATATGCACTGCTTTTCAAAAGCTTGGGATCAGTAAGATTTGTAATGTTTTTAAAGTCTCTTCTGTTCATCAAGGCTGCATTTATTTGATCGGAAACAGAAAAAATCAGTAATATTGTGAAATATTATTATAATGTAAAACAGCTGTTTTCTATGTGAATGTGTGTTAAACTGTAATTTATTTCTCTGTATTTTCAGCATCATTACTGCAGTCTTCAGTGTCACGTGATCTTCAGAAATCATTCAGATAACAGATATTCACTTAGAAAAGCATTATTTTAAATTGCAATAATATTACAGTTTTTGTCTGTATTTCTGATGAAATAAAAGCAGCCTTGCTGAGCAGAAGAGACACATTATAAATGGTACGGATCCCAGACGTTATGCATTAGTTATCAGTGAAGTGTGTTGTGTTTCAGCTCTGATCAGCCTGTCGTTTGGAGGAGCGATCGGTCTGATGTTCCTCATGCTGGGCTGCGCTCTGCCCGTCTATAAGTGAGTGTCTCTCTCTCCTGTCTCTCTCTGTGTGTGTGTGCGGAGCGTCTGCTGACGCTGTGTCTGCGTGCAGTGCGTACTGGCCTCTGTTCCTGCTCTTCTTCTACATCCTGGCACCTATCCCATACTGCATCTCTCGCCGCGTGGTGGACGACACGGACTCGGCCAGCAACGCCTGCAAAGAGCTGGCCATATTCCTGACCACAGGCATCGTGGTGTCCGCCTTCGGGCTGCCCGTCATATTCGCCCGCGCTCACGTGGTAAATATCAACATGACACGCTGTTCAAACATGTATATGTGAATGGTTTTCACTCGCTTCTCTTTCAGGAGTTTCTGATGAAACATTATGAAGGCTACTAGGGCTGGATATTGATGCACACTTTATGAATCGATTCTTTATTTGATTAGTTTTGATGTATATCATGTTCGTTGCAGGTACACGTCAGTTTTTCTTAAAGGAGTCGTTCAACCAAAAATTAGAATGTGCTCTGCATTCTCAGTTCTTCTGAGATCAGGATGAGTTTGTTTCTTCATCAGGTTTGGAGAAATGTAGCACTGCATCAGTGTCTCTCTGAAGTGAATGGGTGCCGTCAGAACGAGCGCTGATAAAAACATCAGCACAAGTAATCCACAGCACTTCAGTCCATCAGTTAACATCTGGAGAAGACAAAAGCTGAAACACATCCAGCATTAAGATGTTTTTAACTAAAATACATTGAGTCCATAATAACTCTTCCTCCAGTGAAAAAGTGTTCTGGTGTGAATCAGGAGAGAAATCTGCACAGATCAAGCACCGTTTAAACAGCTCTAAACACATATATGTCTGGATTTTAGACACTTTTTCACATTATTATGGATTATAGACTCTGTGGTATTTTAGTTAAAAACGTCTTAATGCTGGATTAGTTTCAGCTTTTGTCTTCTCCAGATGTTAACTGATGGACTGGAGTGCTGTGGATTACTTGTGGATTATTGTGATGTTTTTATCAGCTGTTTGGACTCTCATTCTGACGGCACCCATTCACTGCAGAGCATCCATTGCTGAGACACTGATGCAATGCTACATTTCTCCAAATCTGATGAAGAAACAAACTCATCCTAATCTTGGATGAACTGAGGGTGAGCACATTAATTTTTGGCTGAACTGTTGTGTCAAAAGCACGTTTATTGTGTGAATCCGGCGCTGAAACGGACAGAGTTTGATCACAGCGAGAGCAGGATTGATCTCCGTCCGTGTCAGCGTGAATGTGAGGAAGTTTCCAGACGGCTGACTGAGTACTTGATGTGCGCAGATGGCCTGGGGAGCCTGTGCTCTGGTGCTGGCGGGAAACATCGTGATCTTCGCCACCATCCTGGGCTTCTTCCTGGTGTTCGGCTCTAACGATGACTTCAGTTGGCAGCAGTGGTGAAGCAGGGCTCTCCGCTCATCTCACTCTGACATTACTGTTTTATTTATAATTGCCGCCCATTGATAGAAGCAGGAATCCAGTGCAATAATTGTGTTAATGTCAGATTTCTTTCTTGTTACGAATGCAGGTGGTCGAACAGAAACATTGTTTTTCTGAAGCTTTGAACACTGAAGTCTTTGCTTTGCATTTCTCTTTAACTCAGAGTTTATTTATTTGTTCCCGTTCTCTGCTGCAGCTGATCATCGTATTAAACGTGACCTCGTCGACTGAAGCTCGTTATGTTGATGTGATGATTCTGTTTTTATTGCATAGCGATGCGTTTGTTTCCCGCAAACGTTTCTTTTAGAGAAAAACCCAGAGTAACCGGTTATTAGGTAACTATGAACACGCAAATGAAACGCAGGTCATGTTTGTTTTAGCTCATATCCATCGTTCATAAAGACAAGATGGTGTGAGTTTCTCTGAATCAGACACTCGGTGTGTGACGAGAGGTTAAAGTCAACATGAAATCTCTGATTCATCAGTGCACAATAAATCGGTAAATATAAAGTTGGCCTTATAATCTTTATTTATTCATGTAGAGAAACTTTTCACCATCCAATTAATAATTCCTGATGGATAAAATCAAGTCTTATCCTACACTTGTTTGCTCTGTTACACGTTTCTATGGAAACCTATTTCCGTCACAGAATCAAAAAATTGCTACTTTTTAATCTTACGATTCTGACTTTCCTCGCCAGAGTTGTAAGATATGAACTCAGAATTGCAAGAAAAAAGTCAGAAGTCTGTGTTTGTATCTCACAGCTTCTCTCTGAGTTTTGAGTTTACATCTCGCAATTGTTTTTTTGGCACAGAATAAAAACAAATTTTAAAAACGGTATTTTTGGCTTTTCTTTTTTTTCTTGTTTATATTTGCATCTCAATTGAGAGGCGAACCCACAATTCTGAGAAGAAAAGTCTGAATCATAAAATATAAACTCATAATTATGAGGAAAAAAGTCAGAGATTAAACTCGCAATTACGGTTTTTATTTTTTATTACATGGTGAAAACTAAAAAAAAAAAAAAATTGCGAGATGCAAACTCAAGAAAAGTCAGAATTCTGTGTTTTTATCTTGCAATTCTGACTCAGTTTTTTTTATTCTGTGGCACAAATGCGCTTCCATTCAATGCATTGGTAGAAAGTGCTGTTTCATATTGACTTTAAAGCTTCGAAGAGACGTTCTGTTATTTTATATCTCACTCTTTGTGCAGAAACGGCGCAGGTAACATCGTGACTTTTTCCTCTCTTCTTGTTCATTTTTTAAATAAATGCCATTTTTGAATTGAATTGTATGTTTGTTGTCATTGCAGATGATGTACAGTGGAAAAAAAAAAAGGTTTAGGATTTTTTCCACTCACAAACCGTTACATAGAAATGTTAGAAATAGTGAAAAAACTGAAATAGTATTTTCTTGTAAAACATGCTCCAGTAATCTTGTATATGACCTCTGACTGTTGACTGTTCCTGTTCAGATTCTGCTGATGTTACTGACTCCATCCCAGAAGAGAAGCTAGTCTTTAATAATCATCCAGTAATGAAACGTAAAGTGAGGCCTCGGGCAGGTTTTCTGCGCTCAGTGGAATGAAGGAGATTCGCTGAAACGCCGGCATCACTGAAACACACACATTCCATGAATAATACAGATCTGCATGAATCTCATCAAACACGTTTGGGACACAAACCAAAAAATAACAAGATGTAGGTCTAAAAATATATTATGCATGAAGAAAATAAAGGCGTTTTTAATTTATTTGCATACCAATTTCACCCCAAATTCTTATTACTGTATCTGAATCCTTTACTAGTTCTCATTATTCTCAATGCTGCTTAATTAGATTCTTATCAACTTAGTACAATGTTGTTGTTTTTAAATTAAATCAGCATTAAGCAAACAGATTCTGCATCATGTAAAATTCTCAAAATAATATATTAATATGTTCTTAAATCATGATAATGATTATTTGGTGGTTAAATGTGTTTAAAGCAATGCACAGAAGAAGAAAAAACTGAAATGTGTTAACATGAACTAACAGAAAAATGCGTTATTAAAATCAAAAGCTGCATCTGTTTAAATTATTAATGAACTAACAATGAACAGTATGTCTATTAACTAACATTAACAAAGATAAATAAATACAGTTACAAATGCACTGTATATTGTGAGTTAGTTCATGCATTAACTGTAATGCACAGTGAAACATGAGCGGGAGGTTGGTGTGTGTTTGAGTATTTGGGCCCCGGAGCGAGAGCCGACCTTCATCATGTTTGTAGAGCAGCTCTGAACGACTGAGAGACCAGATCAGATCAGAGGTTATGAGGAGATTTTTCAGAGTTGACAGAGATGAAGATTACGGTCAGATTCAGTATCTCACGGCTAAATGCATCCGACTGTCTCAGGAGAAAGGTAAGCGTGCAAGTCATACTCTCATTTTTAGTTTGGCACAAACCAGTGAGGACTAGACCGCAGAAAATGCTGAAAACAAGCACATATTCCTTTTAGTTTCAGTGTGTTCAGTGCTACAATCCTGTCGTTTATTTGACTCTTGACATGATCACATAAAATAGCATTTATTTGATCTCACTGCAAGAAATATGATTATTTGACACGCAGCTGATGTGTATAAAACATGCTGTTCATGTGCACACGTTTGTTCATGCATTAATAATGACCCTAATCCTTTTTAGTTGTAATCGCAGCAGTCCTGCAGTTCAGACATTGTAGATGGGCTAGAGTTAGGTGTCACAAACATCAAAAGATTATAATGTTATTTTAAAGCAGTGCAAATTGTATATTATAAGTGTTTGTTCGTAAACAAAGTAATATTGTATTCAAATAATATTGTTTGACTTTATTTTGCACTACTGATACGTTTTGTTAATATTACTTATTTAAGTTTATTTTGCATAACTTTTTCATTCTGTGCAGCTGTGCTTCAAATGCATTAAGTTTTTGTGCACGCAAATAGTTCATGTTAGCTGGTGATTTCAGCTGCTCAGTGAAGCGTGTGTGTGTGTGTGTGTGAGTGTGTGTGTGTGTGTGTGTGTGTGTGAGTGTGTGT